TGATATAAGTGACATGTCTGAAATTAAACTAGACACTTCAGTGATGGCTACCTTTTTGGTACAGAGTACTGAAAGCATGCAGAACTTGCCCTCCCATGTATGTATGTGCGACCCCTGCGCATGCGTCCCATCCCCTGCATGTGTGCATGTCTCCCACATGCGCTCCACCCCTGTGCATGTGTGGCAGAGACCCGAGAACCAGCTGGCCAGTGGGAGGCGTATGCGCATGCGTGGCGGAGCCAAGCTGGGGTGTGGTTCATGTGCCTGTAGAGAGGGTTCTGCGGGTCAGCTGTGGCATGCGTGCCATAGTTTACCATCATGGCTCTAGTTCTAAGAGTAGCTGTACATCAGCTTGCTCCAACCAGATGCCCTCTATGAGTTTTGGAAATACAACACTCCAAATTAGGAATTGTTAACAGGGATCTTGGAAGTAGCAGTCCTAACACATCTAAAGGGCATGGGAAGACTGAATTGCAGAGATTGTACTGCTGCTTATTATAATAAACCAATATTTGTCCTTCTTCCCAATGACTTGTAAGTGAAGAAACAGCAACTGATAGATTTCTGGATTTTAGATGGTAACTCTTAGCATTCCTCATTGTTGGCAAAGGCTGATGGGAATTGAATTTTAACAACATCTGAAGGCCTACCTGTTGCCCATTATTTTGAAGTGAAACTCAGTGAAACTGCTACCAGTTTTCCTATCTGCCAATGATATGGCTTTCATACACAGGGAGCTCTCATATTTGATAATATTATGTTCTACAATAAATTTCACTAGATGTGGAAAGAGAATAACAAAACCCAGGTATACCATTTTTACAGCAGTATACATGTAATTATGATTTTTTAGTTACCACATGTTCACATGAGTTTAAAAGAGCTGAACTTTTCAAAGACAAATGAAAATTAGATTCATATTATTTGAACTGCTGAGTGAGTTTAAGTTCAAAATGGGCCTACCTGATTAACCAGGGGTCTCCAACGTTGGCAACTTTAAGACTTGTGGACTTCAACTCCCAGAATTCTTGTCTAAAGGGAGTTCTGGGAGTTGAAGTCCATGAGTCTTAAAGTTGCCAATGTTGGAGACCCCTGTGATAAACCAAAGAAGAGGGATCTTACTCAGATAGATAGGCTAGATAAGGCAATATATGGAATGCTAAACTACAGGCAGTCCTCAACTTATGACCATAATTGAGACCAAAATTTCCACTGCTAAGTGAGACAGTTGTTAAGTGGGTTTTGCATTTGATGATCTTTCTTGCCACAGTCACTGTAGTGAATCACTGTAGTTGTTAAGCTAGTAACAGTTGTTAAGTGTATCTGGCTTCCCATTGACTTTGTCTGCCAGAAGTTCACAAAAGATGATCACATAACCCTGGGGCAATGCAACCATCATAAATACATGCCAGTTGTCAAGCATTTAAATTTTGATCACATGACCATGGGGATGCTGCAACAGTCATAAGTGTGAAAACAGTCATAAGTCATTTTTTTCAATGTGGTTGTAACTTTGTTCACTAAATGAATGGTTGTAAGTCAAGGACTACCTACATTACATAAAAGTTCTGTAATTGAATTTCCAGTGACATGCTGTTGTGGAAAGCTCTGCTAACAACATTAGCACTGAAGGAGAAAGTATAAATTCCCATATTTTTCTGTGCTGTAAATGCCTACACGTTATCTTGTTTGGCTTAAGTTTTGTGACACAGTAATTTGATCGTGTTAGAGAAATATTGAACTATATCAGATCAGAAATAATAATACTTATTTTTATTTTACTGTTCAGATCCTAAGCCCAAACTGTCTGCTGATTTTGAGGATCTCTTATCTGGCCAAGGTTTTAATGCGCATAGAGACAGAAAGGGCCCCAGAACAATAGCAGAGATGCGAAAAGAAGAAATGGCCAAAGAAATGGATCCTGAAAAATTAAAAGTACGCATTGGGATATTTTAGACATTTTTAAAATAAAGTTTCAAAGATGTATTAGGATGCAATATTAATTATGTATGTTGTACATAAATAATGTCAATATGCTATAGCAACTTATCAGGATATTTTGCATTGTTGTTGTTTTCCTTTTAATTTCAAAATCTTAGCATCCACATGGTGACAATGATGGTAGAAAGGAGGGGATAGAAAATCCCATTGAGATATTCCGGCTTCAGGAGAGTAGTTTCTATATGATGAACTAATCATGGTTGTTTTCTGGAATTTTGAAACAGTCTAAGCAAATTTAGTCTAATACAGAGTTCCCTGGAACCACCCAGATTGGCGGCTCAGAGGGGTGATTTCGTTGGAAGGGCAGGAACATGTGTGCATGTGTGGCTGTGCACGTCCACGACATTCACAGTGATACCTGTGCGAGTGGGGCTGCAAGCACTGCAATGAGGCTCGTGCAAGCGTGGTGATGCTTGCACAAGTGGAGCCCTGTGCACACACACACATGCATATGCACTTGCTGGCCACTCATGCATCCCAGTGGCAATTAGGCCATGGGCCAATAGAGGGCCATGGCCCACAGGTTGGGGACTTCTGATCTACCGTAATAGGAATAATTACATCTGCCTGCTTAGCTGTTTGATTCAGGATTATATCTCTCTACACAGATCCTTGAATGGATTGAAGGGAAGGAGAGAAATATAAGAGCATTGTTATCTACCATGCATACAGTGCTATGGGAAGGAGAAACAAAGTGGAAACCTGTGAGCATGGCCGATCTTGTAACTCCAGAACAAGTGAAAAAGGTTTATCGGAAAGCAGTACTTGTTGTTCATCCTGATAAAGTAAGAAACAATGTCTTGGGATTTATGTCTTACAAAACTAATATTCTAGTTCTATGTATTGCTGCAGGCAACTTCAGATGCACAAACAATTATACATTGTTGTTACCATTATTACCTTAAAATATCAAAATGTTCTACATGAGAGATTGTTTCTTACAGTGTATTGTCAAATGTGACTCATCTTGATAATCTTTCATTCAAACTAGATCTACACAGTCCAGGGAGAAGACTTGAAATCAATTGAGAGAGGTGGTTTAGGTGTGAAATCTCAGGATAATTTGCAGTATTTCTCTTTTCAATATTAAAAAAAAGTCTAAAAAGTTCCAATAGGTTTCATTTAAGTAGGAAAAAGAAAAATTAGATTTCTTGTGTTTTAATCCTCACAATGAGTTTTTTTAATTAAAAAAATCGTGATTTGAAAAACCAATAGCCCCAGGTTAGAAATAAATACATAAAGCACTCCATAGATCACTAGGATTAAGGTTTGATTTTGTGATAAGCAACATTTTTTGGCCAATTAAGTCAACGTTGATTGGCAATCATTAGCCAACTGACAAGAGAGTTTTATATTGCAAGTACTTCTTTAGAATAAATGAACATGTACAACCTATATCAATCCCACTATAAATGAACACGTGCAACATTATTTTATTGTCATTTCTTTGTTACTTTGATTAGTTCCTGAGATAATCAAACTTGATAAAATGTGCACTGTTCCACAAATGTATAATACAGCTTTCCGGTTTGATTTGTTTTAAAAACAAGATTTAGCCTGTTTGTTTGTCATGGAATAAATCTATGGGCTTTTCTGCATTGCCTAGTTGTCCAATTCTTTTTGGAGGACAGAAATAGACAAGGTCACCCTCTATGAATCCTTACTCACTTTCACAGTGACCTTTGAGGCTCTGCTTCTAAAATAAACTTTTTCCTATTGCCTTGTTTAGAGGGGTTCTGTCAGTTTGGGATGAAGGCTTTAGTTGGCTTCAGGTTGGTCTTCATGGGGCACTTTAGCGAGGAAGGAAGGGCTTCAGCTGAGTATTTGCTCTTATATCATTTAAACCTTTCTGCTACTGTAACTGAAGCAATACCACAATCTATTACTCTTGCCTTGAAAGTCAAATTTTACTGGTTCATACCCCAACAAAACATTTTAAAAAAATTTCTCGTTCTNTTTGCTTAGTAAGATTTTTGGAAGTGTTTTGCCATTGCTTTCATCCCAGGCCTAGTTCTTAGCCTGGTGCCTTCACCACTACACCAAACTGACTTTCTCTAAATGAAGTGGCAAAATAGGTTCCTATCAGGGATGTAAGAGGGGATCATCCTCCAGCAATTGATATTGACGTTTTGAAAATATGCTTTTTCAATGGACACAACATATTTAACTTTAATATCTTAAATGTTGAAGAAGAATTGCCCAAGGGTATTACAGGAGTGCTAATGAAATAGAAAAAAATATGATACCCAAAGAAGTATTGATGTATTACAGAGATTTTACAAAAGCATGTGTACTACAAGTTATACATGCTGCTATTTATAGTTGTCAAAAGCATTTTATAGTATATGAGCTAAGTTAGCTTCTTTATTCTCTTAATAACATGATTTAATGAAAAAGTAACTTGGGTGTTATTTTTTTCTACTCTAGTTGGCCAAAGGTTTTTTGGGTGCTTGTTGAGACTTGTTCTATGCTGTTGATTGAATATATCTTCAATACAGACCTAGAAAGACATATTCCCAAACTACAATTCTATAAATGATATGCTTTGCTTATGTTGAGTTAACCAACTAGTTTATGCAGTTGGATTGTGCTACTTTTAGCTTTGAGGTCATTCAATTGTATTTCATAAACATGCTTTTTCTCTTCTTACATCATCTAGGTATGGTGAGCAAATCAACTGCTTCCAGCCCTACAGGATCACTGCACAACACCCCCACACATCAAGCCAAACCACAAACTCTGGATCCTTTTGCTGACTTGGGAGCTCTTGGTGCAAATCTAGCAGGTTGACTGATGATTGCATAACCAAAACACATGTATATTCAGAAGTGCATGTTCATATAACAGTCTGCTATTATTAATGTCTGTTGTCTGCTTCTCCAGAATGAATAACCAAGGTCTATCCATGAACGACAGATAACAAAATGCTGCCACTTTCCCAGCTCTCAGTATTTCACTGAACTCTTCTAAATTTTAAACAAAACTATCATAAGCCATAAAGAGCCCAAAAAAGTAAAAAGAAAAGTGAAAAGTAGAAAAAAATAAAAAATCAAAGAACAAAAGAAATAAAGAAAAAGAAGTAACTTCCCTTCTTCGCAGCAAATATATACTTCAAAAACATATCACCACTTCTTAAAATATTACAAACCTCTTCACCTTATATCTCACCTCATTCTCAATAAACATAAAAATCCTCATCATTCTTCCTAATCAGTAAAAGTCCAGTAAGGTTTATCAGAAACAATCACCTATCTATTATAAACTTAATCTAATAAAACTAATAAGCCCACTTAATTTCTTACTTTTATATTTATATCTCCTTGTCTGTTCTTAAGCAAATCCCCCAAAACCTCACCAATCAAATACAACCAATAAAGGTTACCAGAAATGATACCACAACTATTTTAAACTTAATCAGAAAAAAATTAAATGTAGCAAATAACCTCTTATCATTAAAACAAAACTTTGAAACATTATTTTCCAGTTCGAGTAAAAAAAAATCCTTTCAAGATTAGTAAAAATAACCAGAGCCTATTATATCATTGATCAAATAAGCCCATTTTATATTCTTTCCCCTTATTCCCAAAATCTCGATCTTAATAGGTCCCCTCAAATAATATCCCAGCATATGGTTTCTTTTCATTTATTTTTCTATTCTCACAAAATCACCAACATTAACAAGCCCCTCTTGTAAATCCAGTATAAAAAGATTATACAAGTCATTCTTTTGGCCTATTATTCTCATATCCTTTTTAATTATTAAANCCAGATCCCCGAAGCGGATCTAGGGATCATCTAGGGCAGTGGTCTCCAACCTTGGCAACTTTAAGACCTGTGGACTTCAACTCCCAGAGTTCCTCAGCCAGCTTTGCTGGCTGAGGAACTCTGGGAGTTGAAGTCCACAGGTCTTAAAGTTGCCAAGGTTGGAGACCACTGATCTAGGGGATTTGGGGATTTTTGTTACTGTGAAGCAACTTCTTCGCGTTTCTCCGTCTTTTTCCTCCCTCCTTATGGGAAGGGGCAGGCGTTCTCAGTGGACCACGTGAAGAGAAGGCGGAAGAAGCTCTCCTTACACTCCGCCTCCGCTGCCTCGAAGTCCGGAAAACGATCGTGAGAATCGCCCCTTCAAGGAAGGAGGCATGGCGGGGATCAAAGGTACGAGCCGTTCCCCCCATTTCTCTGGGAGGGATTGTCTTGAGGAAGTCGTACGTTTCTCCTCATAGCGACCATCGCTGGGGCAACCGCATCTCTTCCCCGAGAGATCCCAAGATCTCTTTCCCTTCCCCATCTTCTTGCCGGCTACTCAGGCGCTCTTCGTAAAGGATTTTTAGTTTGGACGGCTCTTTTTTGCTATTCTGCTGTTGTTAGTGGTGGTGTCGCTTTCTCCTGCACCCTGCCCGGGGGTTCCCCAAGGACATTACAGTCCCGCAGAAAACAGAGATCAAAGGAAAGAAGGATCCTCCCTCTGTCGTGCTTATTCAGCTGGTTCACGGGCAAGTGCACTATGGACCTTTGGGTGCCAGGCAAAGTTTCTTTGTTGATTTCTCCTCTTCGCCTAACTGGCTGGAGAATTCTGGGAGTTGAAGTCCACAAGTCTTAAAGTTGCCAAGTTTGGGGATCCCTGCTGAAGAAGCACTCCCTACCGCTCTCTTGCCTCATCTCCGCAGACTAAGACCAGTTTGTCCTATTTCTGTTCCACTTTGCAGAACTGTTTCTGTTCGTGGTATAATTAAAAAAACTCAAGCCAAAATCTAAGAAGAGACGTTCCCAATCAAGAAGGATAAGTTTTTGCAAGCGTGGTCAAAGTTTGCTCCTTTGATCATCTGTAGTAGGTATGGGAGGCAGGATTTTTTAAGGAAAATATGAAATCATTCTATATGGTCGTTAACGAGATCATTTATGTCTCTGCTTAGAACTTCCATGATGCGTGCTAACATTATTTTTAAAGAATGTCAGCAGCCTGTGATTTTGTAATTATGTTCATGAGAGTTGGTTATTAAAATTGAACTGAGTGACATTCTTTTTTATTTCCACTTTTACAGCTTTGGTTGGTTTATCATTCACTGGAGTCCTTGGTTTGACATTTCTTATGTTGGGATGTGCCTTAGAAACATATGGGTAAGAACATATTACTTTGAGAAAATATCGGTTCTTTGCTATCAATCATGTAAATTCTGAACACATTTATTTGGCATAAAAGTTTATAAATTTAGTAGAGGGATACAATTTAAGTAGTAATGGTGGGATTAATACTTGGAAATGGTATGAAAAAAAGAGAAAACTGAATTAGTCTGGCAAAAATGTATCAAAAACAGTGGATTGAATAAATGCATTTCATATGTGGATCAAAGAGGTGGGAATTGGGGAAGCAGTACAAAGTGACATATATACTGATAGTGCTCGGCTTAAAATAATTCATTTAGTGACCAACATTACAACGGAATGGAAAAAAGTGACTTAAGATTTGCATTTACGACCATTGCAGCATCCCTATGGTCATGTGATCAAAATTTGGACCTTTGCCAACTGGCATGTGTTTATGATGGTTGCAGTGTCCCAGAGTCATGTGATCATCTTTTGTGACCATCTGACAAGCAAAGTCAGATTCACTTAACAACCAAGTTACTAACTTATCAACTGCAGTGATACGCTTAACAGTTTTGGCAGGAAAACTCATAAAAAAGGGCAACACTCATTTAACAACTGTCTCGTCTTAGCAATGGGAATTTTGGGCTCAATTGTGGTTGTACACCGAGACCTACCTGTATTTATCACATGTGTTGAGATAGATATGTGAATGTGTACAGCTGCATTTTTGTATATGACAAAAGAAGTTGATATTGCATATGCATTTATTTTAAACTTCCTTAATCTCCTGTTCTTTATCATTCTGCAGTACCTACTGGCCCTTATTTGTCTTGATATTTTATGCCATATGCCCTATTCCTCACTTCATTGCAACAAGACTAAGCGATGATACAGATGCAGCAAGCAGTACTTGCAAGGAACTGTCATATTTTTTCACAACTGGAATTGTGGTCTCTGCTTTTGGACTTCCTATCATTCTTGCACGTGTTGAAGTGGTAAGTCCTGTAATAAGACAATGAGAGTTTACATGTATGCCCGCAGAAGTCTTGCGTGTGGAAAGATTCTTAACAAATGATTTATGTTAATTAGCACATTTATAACATTGTCAGTGAAAACATTGTATACCAGGTTCTTGATGATACAATAGGATGGGTTCTGAAAGACATTCATTCCCTTCATAAGTGACAGGAGACATTGCACAAATAATAAAGATTTCATGGTTGAAATTGTATTGCTGAGTTCATATTTTGTGCTAAAAGTATGGTTTAACAAATCACAACTTCAACCAAAAACCACAACATGTAAATCATGGTTTGAAAGTGATCATGGCTGGGTTTGTGATCAGACAATCAATACATTTTATTGAGAACAATATAACATTGCTTCAGGCAATAAGAAAGAAAATAACATACAGTATTAACAGGAAAAAAAATGACTTTCTGCTGTTTCTTGTAATATTGCTGTGTCTGGCAAACTGCAAAACAGAATTGTATCATTTGTTACTTTGAAACTTCCTCTGCAAGCAAAAGTTCAGTTAAAAGTTGTCTAGATTTTTGTATTAAGGAGGTGCTGTAGATAATCATTATAGTGTATGTAGTACAGAAAAACGGGTTACTATTTCAGTTCTGTCCCATGAATATTTGCTAAGAATTGGGAGGAATTGCTGAAAGGATGATATTAAAAAATGCAAGAATGAAAATTCTCTGATGCTTTTGAAGAATAAGTTGTTTGAGATGTTTTCTGTCTACGGATTAAATAACTAGTTCCTAGTTAGTATATTTGCAAAGATTCTATCTTGATGAGCAAAACTAGTGATATGTGAATCAACCTGTTTTTCAGCAGTTAAACTCATGCAGGCCCCACCTGTGGTTTATTGCATTTCATTATTTGCTAAATCATATGCCATGACTTGTTGACTACAATGGCCGATTTCTGCATTATGCTAAATTATAATCTAGCATACTACTACAGGAAGAAGAGTAAGAAAAGTATTCACATATTTACATGGTACAGTGTATATTTCTAAAGAGGTGGTGTTATTTATTTTCTTTAATTTTGGACTTTGAATTTTTTTTCCAGAATTTATATTGGAAGTTGCAAAACTTGATTTTGATATGTACTATCTCTTTCCCCCCCCACCAGTGGGAATAAGTGTACTGTATGAAAGGTCCTTGGTATTCTCTGAGCTTTGTAATTTTCTTGCAAACGTTTCATTAGCCAAACTAAATAATATCATCAGTGCAGTGTATGTGTATATGTATTCATATACACTATATTGCCAAAAGTATTCGCTCACAACTGATTCTGATTATTTGGATGGGTGAGCGAATACTTTTGGCAGTATAGTGTATACATTATGTATATATGTATATAAGGGCATGGTAGCTCAGTGGTTAAAGATGCTGGGCTTGTCAGCTAGAAAGCTGACAGCCCATGTTCGAGACCCGAGTGCCCCTTGATGGGGTAAGCTCCTGTCCTTGGCCCAATTGCTGCCCACCTAGTAGTTTGAAAGCATGCAAATGCAAGTAGATAAATTGGTACTACTTCTATGGAAAGGTAGCAGCATTCTGTGTGCTTCAGCATATTGTCATGCTGGCCACATGACCACATGTCTTCGGACAGCTCTTGCTCCCACAAGAAACAGAGATGAGCATTTGTCCCTTCCCCAAATTGTACATGAGTGGATGGGGGAAACCTTTGCCATATATGTTTGCAGGCATATATGCAGTATACAGTAGAACCTCTGGTCATGACCATAGTTCGTTCCATAACTTTGGTTGCAAAGTGATTTGGTCGTGACCCGAACCTAACCAAAATTAATGCAAAATTAATGCAGCGGCCACACAAGGTCACTATTTTTTGGTGCTTACAAAAAAAAAAAATGACACGGAAGGGGAAATCGGCCACAGCCATGTTTGATGGCCACCCGAGTATGTGTTCATGACCAGATTCAGAAATGTGAATTTTTTGGTTGGAACCCGATTTGGTCGTGGTCAGAAGCATTTGTGACCAGAGGTTCTAGTATACTGTGTTGTGTTGCTATACACAACGATAGCCCCGATAAATTTTGGTTACATTTAGAATGAATGGAAAAAGCAACATAAGTAAAAATATATTTAGCATTGTTGCATTCCATTAATTTTACANCACACACACATCCTCCTGTGAGGTTCCTAATTATCCTTTGGCTTTATTATATATATTTAAAAATAAAATGAAGTGTCACCATTTCACAATTTCCCACCTCCATCTAAAAATCTTTTCACTTCAGGTGACTGGTTACAAAGCTAAGCCCTAGACTTAGTGTTGTTGTTTTTGTTTTTAATTAAAAGCCCATGGAGAAAAATGGATTTGCCTAAGCAACCCCAAATTTCTGTTGGATATTTCTGTGTGCATGTACTTTACAAACGGATCTTTGTACTTATTGAGACCTGTTGTTTTGCTTTTCTTCCAGGCTACCGGACAGCCATATGAACAATATGCAAAGATGATTTTTATGGAGCTCAATGACGCCTGGTCGGAATTTGATAACCAGGGCCAGAAGCCTTTGTATTAGCATTTGTCCTCAGACGTTGCTGTAGATCTGTGCTAGTGCTTGTATTGTTCCTTGCCACATGATTTTCACAGCTGAACTGATGTCTGGCTGGAGTTGTAAAAGTATTAATACTAGCCCAATTTTTTAAAAAATACTCTTCATGGACAGGAACAAAAGAGAAGGCTGATCTTCATGAATTACAGATGTAAAAAGAAAGGAGTTCTTGGGACTGATTTATAATGTTCTTTCAGATTTAAATAGGCATTCTAGTAAATTAGGATTGTTTGCCTTGGAACAAGTGAGATGAAATTGTCTCTTTGCCTTTAGCAAAAGGGACACTACCACTTTGGATGTGGCTTGATTTTGAAGTTTGTATCCAGAACTAACTGAAACTACGGTACATCTTCATTCATATGCAGTTATTTAAAACACTCTCTTTCTTATCCCAATTGGCCCTTAAGTTGTTTGTTTTCTTATGTTTTGGATATGTCAGATAAATAACTTAATTATGTTGCTGGTAACTTATTGCAGCCTTAAGCATAGTATTGCATTTCAAGTTTAAGATTTAAGCAGACATTCTTCACAATAGTTGAATTGGGAGCTGCATCTTTAAATAATCTATTATGTTAAATCAGAAACCTCTTGGAGATGATATCAAAATCAGTAGCACGTTGTGTTGACTGTTCTGCACTAATAGAAACTAAGGGTGTGATTATATTGCAAGCTTTTAAAATTCCCCATTGAATTATATTATCTTCTTACATACAGGTGAATCCTTGATTTTTCCTTTAATTTGTGTTCTTCCAAAATTTTAATTGAGTTCGATCAAACATAAGCTTCCCAGAACATTTTTAATACAACTTGAGTGCAACATAGGCTCACCTTCTAAGCCTCTGGAATTAATTTATTTTGTAAATTATTCAAATGATGGAATCTTATCTAGAATAGATATATTGGTTCAAAAAGCAATACAAACATCTGTATGGTACTTATGAAAATAAAAGTGGTTTTTTCCCACCTTCTTACAAAACTAATTTTACATAGTACTCTTTCCGCAGAGACACACGTAATGGCAATTTTTATTTAGGGGTATTTCCTGAATGAAATCCAATCACAAGCAATTATGCATTATTTTTCCTCGTAAACAACTGTCATTAAGTCAGCTTAAGTCAGGAACAACCGTGTAGACCTGGACTGAGTATTATTGATCTTGAAGTGACATTTGAAAATTGTATTTCTCATTTATTGAATGCATGGTAGCACTGCAGTCCTGTCACACACTAGAATCTATTATACAGCCTATCTTCTCATAAAGCTGTCCAGAGATAGGCCTAAAAACACTGGGTGGAGGAAAATTGTCTGTATTTTCACTAGGAGGCCAGTGGATAGGCAGAAGTTTTCACTCTTTCTTAAAGGAAGGAATTTCAAGGTAATGTGAAAATCTTTGTCTATTTAGTGTTTTTAAGACAATCTGTTTTTCTGTTCTGATTTTTTAGTGAGAGAAACCCTTTTCTGCAGATACAGCATGTCAACCAGCCTACATTTATTTTTATATTACATGCCACCTTTTTGTTGTATTGATCCATTATTTATTGCCATTTACTGCCAATGTGAATCAAAAACATCAAGTTCTCCTTTTTTATATATATACAAGACATTAAGATGTTTGAAAAGTATAACAAACTGGATGTTATTTATTAACATATTATGAAATGTTTTGATCAAATATGTGCTGGTCTATTAAAAACATTTTGGAATGTGAATTATGTTCCTGTGAATGTTTTTACTCCTTTATTTTCCTCTGTAGATGCTTATGATGCTGTATATAAATAGATTTAATTAATATAGAAAACATTTTTTGAGATTATACCAATGATTAGCTTAGTGTATCAAATTTATTATTTTTATAAATCCAGCTAACTCAAGTTTATGTGAAACACAAAGCAATCCTTAAGTTTCATCTAACTCAGAATCATGAAAAGTTAATCCAGTTTAAACATTCCTCTAACTGCTGTGTTTTATGCATGAAGATGAGACTTGCTATGCGATCAAAATGATGGAGACCAGACAAGGTTTCCTCTTCTGTCTTTTTGATGCTATCAGGAAATAACACTTTTATTCAGGTGTATCAAGAGTTCTTTTTTTTTCTTTTTGTAAATCTGCAGTAAGCCCATTGAACTGTGAATAGTCTGAAAGATCTGTATATATTAAAAACTTCAAAGAACTCAGTCCATTTGATTTGTATTTATTCTTTGTGGAATAAAAGTTTGAAGATGCGGAAGGATAACAAGATGTACAGGTACATCAAACATGGAAATGGTCAATTTGAATCCATTTTCTTTTTAAACAAGCCCATAAAAGTCTGTGGTGATTAATCCCTCTCTACAATTTTCTGAATTTATATTCTGGGAACCTCCAAACGACAATTCCTTGTTCAATTATTATTTCATGTAATTTTAAAATATATAAAAAATGATGCTGTCTTCTATCTATAGCTTTCCTGTGCTTTAACACTTTTTAAAAAAAATATCTTCCTTATGAAATAAAGGTTGCAATTTAACCAATGTCCACTGGGTATAAATGGTCAAAGCAGCAATAGATTAAATCATTATAAATGAAGTATTAATTCTTCTTCACAACAGTCTAACTCTTGAATATTATGCTGTCTGCAAAAAAGCGGGAAGTGAATGGACTTTTTTTGTTGAAGCCACTTCATTTTGTCAGGAGACAAATTATGCTGATGAAGTGCTTTTCTTATGTAGGTGTGGACATTTAAGGCAGGGAAACATTCACAAGCATATGTAATATTCATATTACAGGACCAGTTTAAAAAAAAATCCCAGGGTAAAATAGCCGTAATGCACAGATAGTACTGAGAAATAGATCAAAAAGTATAAAACGGGCATTTATAATTCAGGGATTTATTCTCTACAGCAGCCAATGGTAAGACTAGAACCAACCAATGGAAGCTTTATAGGGACAGATCTAAATTTGAAATAAGGAGGAATCTCCTGACTCTCAGAGGCATTAATAAATTGAACAACCTGTCCCTTTGAAGTACAGGGAGATCAGTGGACATTTTAAAGAGATGATTGAACAACTATTTGTCCCACACTGGACAGGGGTTGGATTAGAACAGTGTTTTTCAACCTTTTTTGTGCAAAGGCACACTTTTTTCATGAAAAAA